GATTCTGTTGCAAAGACTGATTCTGAAGGACCATCATCAAAACTTCAAAGGTTTATAAAGAACATGAGGTAATTTCCTCCATCTTGGACTCTTTCAGAAGTGCAGGCTACAACTCTGGGAGATCAGCATTAGCTACACTAAATGGGAGAAATCTGGAGAAGGCCACCATGTAACAAATAACCAAGTTGAGAAAGACTTCCCTAGGAAAAACCAGACATTGGATCCAGCTGGCACATGCCATGGCCATCTTCATCTTCATTTATTGAGAATTGCAATCTCATTAGGGGAAGTGGGAGGCAGAAAATCACTTCCTGAACTGATAACTTTGCAGACAGGGAACAAGAAAACAGAATGCACAGCCAACTTGCAATAGTTGAGACAATTGGTTTGGAATAGTGATTAAGACACTGGCCAAGAAACTGGGGGGCTGTAGGTTTTAGGCCTCCCTTAAACATGAAAACTGACTGGATAACGTGAGTCAATCTCAGCTCAACCTACTTCACAGGGTTGTTACAGGGAAAATAAGAGGCAGGAATACATTCGCCACCTTAAAATTGTATATCAAAAAAGAAGGGATAAAAATCTATTATTATATATGCAATCATTTGAAATCACAGCTGCCACTTCTTTAAGTGACATCATATTTCATTCATACTGAGTTCTTCCCAGGAACTTGGGATGTTATAACATCAGTGTTGTACATGTGGATCAAGAGAGTAGCCTTTTGTAATTGCAGGTAGAAATGTTGTCAGTGCCTAGATTTTCTAAATGAAGTGCCATTCAAGTTTTTTGACCTGGCACCGATAACTACTAAGATCATCACAGGTGGTATATTCCATAATCTTTCTATTTGATTTTCAGATCTTAATACTTTGTGATCTTCTCTAAATCTTTGTTGTTATTGTTGTTGTTATTACTACAGTCCTTAGCAGAAACCATTTCCCTGCCAGAGCCTCCTATATAAAATTCATATCAACCTGAGCCATAAATATTTCAATCTGGCTGTCCTGAATTATCCTGAACATTGTTTGCAATGTTATTTAAACTAGGTGCAATTTTAAACAAGTAAGAAATATGAAGGAGGACTATCCTAACTATTTCCTTGTTACCACATGTGATCTATAACATGTCAACTCACTTTATTAATGTAAGAAAACATTTCAGACTGGCAATCAGAAATGAGCTATATTCACAAACTCAGGATTCAAAGCTTTTTCAGTGAGTACATCTGGAATTTGGAAATAAACCATGTTTGCTTGTTTATTTATCTGAAATGGAATATGGTTTCCTTCTTGAGGTGGGGGTTGTAGTAGAAGAACTTCAAGGTCCCTTCCATCTGTTATTAATTCATATGTTTATTAAATTTCTACAGTGCCCAACTCCAATGACTCTGGGGCAGAGGGGTGTACAAGAAGTCGAAATACATGACAATAAACTAAGATAAAGGAGCAAAAAGATGGCAAACACACACACATTACTCAAAAGGGTTTGTTAGGGGCCTGGATGAGGAAAAACCAGTTCAGAGACAACTCATGCAAGACATAATGGCTACTTATTCAAAACGCTTCTAATTCTGGGGCTGTATCTTGGTTCTCCATAGGATGGTGTTTCCCAATGGAAATAGTAGTTGAAGTTTGAGAGTCTTGTGGCTCTTGCAAGAAAAGCAGGTGAAAGCACAGCCAGGAAGATCTTCATTCAACTTTGACTGGTGCATCATTGTAGTGTTATCTTAAAATGTGAAAAGATGCTCAGTCACAGCTTTGTCATCTTTTGTATGGATTATTCTAATTTGCTTTTCCTGAAGTGCCTTTGAAGGCTACGCAGAAAATTCAACTGCCATAAAATACAGGAGCCAGGGTGATTAGGGGATGTCCTTGTTACAAGGATGACCCAATGATGGGGAGGGGGATCAATTATATTGGAAATTGGAAATATGCATTGGATGAGTAATCCCATTCTTAGAACCTGGGTGTTTTCCTGGTTTTTAACTATTATCCCAATTAATAGATGTTCCGAGTAACAGTTTTATGGTATAAAACAATTTAATATTCAGGTTGAATAGATCATCTTGTGTAAGCTAGACTCAATCAGAATGAGATCTTGGGCTTGGTGTTACTGTATGTCATACAAGTCCAACCACTGTGTTAATTATTAAATGCTGCTTACACCTGAATCCAGCCAAAAATGATTTATTCAACAAACCAAGATTGACAATGCACAAGCTCAGCCCATGTGAACATCACTGGCTTCTGCCCATTTCTCTTCAGCCATTTGCCCACTTGCCCCTCCACAACAAGCACCATAAATTACATACTTTGTTATGATGGGACATGTGGAAAATGGCAGTCTAACACCAGCAGGACGTTGGGAGCAAGACATCTGAACTATCTCCACATTGTTTAAAAGTGGCTGTGAATGGAATAACATTCTAGATTCCAACTGCAACTCTGGGGCTCTTTTATTTGAAATGCATCCACCCATAGCTAAATCAGGAAAATGGCAGGCAGGAGGAATGCAAAGCCCAGGAAGGGGCAGAGAAATAGCAGGACTCCATTGGACTGGAATCAAGCCTGAGGCACTTTTGCAGAGCCAGAAAGGAAGAATGTAGTCAGTTCCAAAAACAACACAAGAGTTTTGCTGCACAATACAGTATGTGGCTCGGTGCTTCCATCACCACAAATAACCTCGCGTGCAGACAGAAGATGTCATCTACCCTCCTTTTTTTGTTTTGAGAATATAGAATGTCCTCTACTCCGGTAATTTAAACCAGGCTAAGAAAAAATATTGGGAAAACATTTAGAAAACAGAAATTTTCAATACCATGAGACTCAAAGTCCAAAACATTTTAAAAGCATGGAATTGCCTAATCCTCTTCAAAGGTTTTTTTTTTCTTTCCTTTTCTTTCCCCTGATTTTTTTCTTCCTATCTAGGTAATATAGGATTTATATTTTGTCTATTATATAATAGGTGTTTTCCTCACAATTACACTTTTATATAATATGTACGGTAGTTTATACGTATCACATATGAATATTTTTAAAACTCTTTTATCTGCAATCAAACCATTAAAAAAAATTATTTTAAAAATTAGGTTGTTTGCCCTTAAATTTGGCTACCACCCACTGGGGTCCAAATTTTCTCAGTGGCCACTGAATAATACTGGCTTACTGTTGGAAAGTAAAGGAAGAAAATCAAAAGGGAAGAAAAGTAGAATGCATTATGGCACATAAGGACAGCTGGCTGGACCCTGAACTGGAATGTTTAACCCCTCCCCCAATTTCTTGTTGCAACTCCCATTTGTATCCGCCCCTATCCTCAAAAATTAAAATAGTTATAGAAAAGAGTTGCTGGGTTATGTCTAACATATAGGTCAAATGGTGCTTGGGGGAAAAAACAGGTTAGAGGAAGAATCAACTTCAAAAAGAGGTAAATGAAACTGTGCCCTGATGAACTGAGAATGTGTAAAATTAAGAAATTTGGGTTATTTGAAGTAGATGAAAGAAAGTGAAATCACTCCAACTAATCCGATTAATTATCTACCCCTAAAATATTCAGGTTGTATAAGGGCAGGGAATGAATACTGTAGCCTCTTGCTTCTGCTCTTTTGCACACAAAAACCAATAGTTGGAAGTTTTTTCTGGCAGGGAGACAATGTCTATGTTCATCTTTAACCACAGCTTACTCTATTTACTGAAATCTGTGATCTATGAAGCAACCAGAAAACACACTTAGTCCAACTTCTCACAGCTGATAGACGGTTCTGTTAACTGAATAGTCCTTATGACCGATTGCTTGGTGACTATTTGAAGTTATAATGGACGCACCAAAAGCTATTTATGACCTGAAAGCCATGCATGCCCACACGTGCGCACAGAGTCCCATAATTGCATTTTGGGCACTTGATAACTGGGTCAACTTTATGGCTGTTTGCAATGTCACAATTGAAATGTTGCGGTTTGTTTTTGCTGATTTTCAGCATTTACTTCCGGTTTCCAGTTTAAAAAAAAACATTGGATAAACTGATTCACTTAATGACCATAAAATTTGCTTAATGACTGCAACATTCATTTAACAACAACAGCAAAAAATGTCATATAATCAAGTCCAGTCACATAATGTCCACAGAAACTATGAACCATAATTCCAGGCTGAGTTACAATTGTTATGTTGAGGACTATCTGTAAGATCATCCAATTATATCAATTGGTCAACGGGCACCCTCTGATATTTACAGCAATGGATAGGAAAACACAGAATCCTCCAGGATAGCCTTCACATCCCAGACATCTTCTAGATCAGTGTTTTTCAAACTTGATCTTTTAAGATGAACGTCAACTCCTAGAATCATCGCGGTCTGGAGTCTGGGCAACTGAATGGAACAGAGTGTTTACTGGCCGGATGCCCTTCCTGTCACCAATGCAGAGTTTTTTTTCAGCAGACATATTCTCAGTGTGTCCAGAGAGAGAGATATCTGCCTTTACCTATGATGGAATTCACAGCCTCCTGATTGTGAGGTGAGAGCTCCACCTCTAGGCCACCTCACCATTCATGTCAACTCCTAGAATTGTTATTTAAATAATGAAAAGTAGCATTTGACTTGACTTGTTTTTTTTAATGTGTTTCTTTGTATGTCCAGCTTGCTGCCAGAGTGCCACTTGCAACGAATACAAAAATTATGTTCCCTGACCTAGAACCATATACTATCTGGTATTGCAGAATTAGTTTCAAATCCCATTTCACAGAAGAAATTCCAAAGGTTCTAAAGACTTTTTGCTTCTTCTGAATGGACTGGACCTCTGAATCTCTCCAAAAGCTTCAAGTTGTTAATACATGTTCTACATTCATTCCTCTCTTCTGCAATGGACATCATAACCATCCTAAAAACCAAAATATAGGTCATCCTCCCCTCTGTTGTTTCAGTTCAAATGTGATTCCTCCCACTACAGGACACAACTGCTCACCCATGTGTGTTATTTACAAATGAATGTGAAAAACAATGAAACATTGGACTGGTGCCATTTATTGTTTTTTCAAAGCAGAAATAATAAGTACTTCAGGAAAGGAAAAAAATAATTTAAAAAAATCTTAAGTTTCATATTAAGAACATCATATCAAGGGCTATAATCCTTATGTCACTGAGCAATACCTATAACAGGAAAAGAATAGATCTTGGGAAATCTGGAAAGATGCAATACAGGATTTCATTATTATTTTTAAATGGGCACTTATGCCTGCCTTGGGGTAATGGAAGCTACCAAGTCACTACCCCCATTGTGGGCATGGCAGGAGTGTCATACCTCTGAAAGTTGCAGGGAGAGCTTCAAGATCACCAGGTTTCTGTACTGTTGTTCAATTGTAAGAGAAACCAGCAGTATTGTCATCATTGCTTTACCACTTCTTCACCTTTGCAGCGTTAAAGAGAAGGGAGAAGAGGCATGCAAGGAACTGCTGGAGACATATCATTCCTGCTTGCGGGCACTGGGCATAGCTCACCCGAATCTAAAAAACGGTCCCTAGGTGAGTGTCCCTATATTGTTTGGACTTAGGGGTAAAAGGTTTGGTGGCAGCATTCAATGGGAACACAGCTGCAATATAGAATAGCTGGGTTATGGGGAATTCACTTAGTCAGAAAGAGGGAGTGTGCAGCAATTATTTTGGAGGAAAGGATTTCACTCTTTTCATTTTATTTAAAAGATAAAAGGCATATAGAGGTGTAGCAGTTACTGCAATGAAAATTTTATCCCTTGATTCTATTTTTAAATGCAAGCTTTCATGATATCAGAGTGCTTAACAGGGAAAACAAGCTATAGAATGGGTAGGAATATCAGAATATGGGAAGAATGAGAATCTCTGTTAGCAGGGAATTTCTGAAGATAAACAGCACTGTCACTAGTGGGGAGGTCTTAACACAGGAGACTTTCTTGACTCCACACATATTTTCTATACAGGAAGATAAAAAGAGAGGCAAAAGCTTCATCAAGTAGATTTATGCAAGACAATGTATATTAAAGACATATGGCTCCTGCAAGAGAAAACATTAGCAATCCTTAACCCAAGCTCAGATATTGACACAGGAACCCCCGCAAAACTAAAGGAGGAAATATTCTTCCTAAATAATTTGGCTGCCAAATACAGTTGCCGTGTTCAAATGATGTTATATCCAAATAAACCACATTGGGTTATGTAATGACCCAATTTGGACAACACTGGAAATCAATGGTTGGGTTCCCACTATATACTGATTATACTGATACCGGTATACTGATTACAACCACATACTCCATTTTACTCTAGTTTGTAGAGTGAATCCAATTGTTTGCAAGCAGTTCTTCCCTCACCCCACCCTTTTGTCAGAAGAACTATAGCTTGGCCCAAGGGAAGAAGCATTACATCCCATAACAGTGGAAAGGTACACCTACATTACTATATAATTTTCCTTTATTATTTTTACAGCTTCCAAATCACTGGGACCCCCAGCCAGCCTGTTTCCTTTCCTGTAGGGACTCCAGAATGCTCAACGAACAGAAAGCTCAGCACTAATGTACCATTCTCAGCAGGCACCACAGAAAGAGTTCCCAGCTTCAATAAAGCCCCTCCATTTTATTCTGACTGGACATGTTAAATTACTAAATCATTGCTCTTTATTCAGTTGGAAGTTTTCTGGTTTTCCATAAATGGCATAATGTTCCCAAATTTTTGGGACCCTCACCTTTGCCATATTTGCTTTGTGCAGTAGCACTCAAGGAAAAATAAATCCTCAGAAGAGCTTTCCATTAAACAGCCTGCTGGACCCATCCCATGATCGGGCATCCTTCAGTATCACCATTTCCACCATCCCTGGGATATCCTGGATACTGTGCTTCCAAACAATTCAGATCTCAGATGACATTCCACATTGGATCCTGGGAATCAGAAGCACCCCTCCTCCGAAAATAGTAATTAAAAATAAAGACAAGGAAAAAGAAAATCAGCCTCATTGGATCATTTGCAGAAAGTCAATAGATATCAGGTGAACAAAAATGGAAGAGATCCCAGAAATTCTTCCTTCCCGTTTGCTTTCTAGAATGAAGTTAGGTTGGGATCGTCTATATACCCCAGGGCACATAGCATATGTTTGGCAGGCCTCACAAATTCCCTTCATCTTCTGATCAGCCCCAACTCTATTTGAGCATTTCTCTGGCACAACTGTATATACCCTCTTTTGGATTCTAATAAAAGCAAAAGCGTCCCTGCTAGATCAGCCAAACTACCTCTCATCCAGCACCCTGGTTCCACAGGAGACACTCAGTTTCCTATGGCATGCCCATAGGCTGGATTCAAGAGAAATCTTCCTCTCTTTCAGTTCTTTTCTGCTCCGATGTCTCCACACAGGATTGCTGGATTTAACATCCAAATTTATAGAGGACAAATTAATTCCCTTGCAATGAAGGTCGAAGCTATCACTTTATCCTGCTGAAAGGAATCTCACAGCTTAATTTTGCGCTATATAAATAGGTGTTTTCTCAGTGCTCTCTGCTCCAAACCAAATCTGTAGGAGTATTTGCTTTAACTGACCTATCTTCTCTACAACTTACTAACTGGGCCCATAGTTTCAAACATAGGTAGAGTGTAAGATGACACTTACAATGATCTTCATATACTCCCAGACTCAAAGGGAAATGTCTAGAACCAAGGCAATCTGCCTATTTTATCACATAACATGCCCAGTTCCCAAAAGTTAACAAGTGTACAACAGAGAGACAAATGTGCAGTGTTGGGACACTTAGGACTACAGTAGTCAGGGGACAGTTTCAACTGTTCCATTTCAGGGGCAAGAGCAGATGCCAGAGGAACTCTTAGTATAAACTACAACCTTTATTACAAGAGACAAAGAATCAAATGTGGAGGCCAGCCATCCTGCCTGCCTACCTGCCTCCAGAGGCAGGGTTTTATATAAAGCTTTACTGTGAAAAGAAGTCCTTGGCCAATTCTCAATGGCAGGGATATCAGCCAAAGTACCATCTGTTGTTCCCCCTTCTCTCCCCCCCTCAACCTTGCCATCATAACCAAAAGAACATATTGAGTAGGGAATGTCACCCACTCCTGCCCTCCCCACCCCCTTCAAAAGGAAACTTCCTTAAGATCCCAAGCTATCCATATCCTCATGGAAATGGAAGCATTTTCATGGTAGAGAAAAAAGAAGAAAATATTTTACCCTATAATTTTGCCAAGTGATGCTGAAAGTCTTTTCAAATTAAAAGGGAATATAAAAGCACCACATGACTTGGTTTAACCCTCCTTTTTCCCAGATTATGCCATCCACGGTCAACCCACACAAGTTTGCAAAGCTAGGGCTCCCTGCCACAGCAGAGTTGTAATCCTAACACCAGGAGTGGCTGAAGAGCCACCCATGCTAGGGGAGGGCAAGGGAGCTGGGCACTGCTCTTCTAGTCTCGCCGTAGGTTTTTTAACCGCTCCTCCAAATCGGCATCTGCATCGGCGAGGGCTGCTGAGGCTTCAGCTTTCTTTCCTCCTGCCACACTCAGAGAACCACCCGTGGAAGGCAAATCTGCAAGGAAGAGAATGAAGTCTGCAACAACCCAATAACACCATTCCCCCATCCATTCCTAGTTCTCTCTGCCCAAGACTGGCATCAGGATTACTGGAGGTGTGAGATTCATGCAGCACACTTATCGCGGTTAGGTTAAATGTGGGCAAAATGGGCAAAGTTTCACATATCACATTATATCATTAACCTTTAATCACACTTATGGATGATCTCTGGCAAGAGCAGGATGAAGAGGGTGCATCTTTGCTCCCCTTATCTCTCAGCAACTTTTGATATTGATTATTGATCTTGGTGTTAAGGGTTGGGAGTAGGGACATGGTGTGCTAATTCTCCTTCCAGAGACCAGTTCCAGACAGAATTGAACAGTGGAAAAAAGTCTACCTTAACACTCCCTACTCCTGTTTTCACAACTAAACAAAGTGCTGGATAAGATAATTCAGCATCACGGGGCAAGGTGTCATCAGTATGCTAATGATAGCCAGTTTATATATCCATTCCTGGACAACCAAGTGATCCTGGGGGAGATCCTGTCTTCCAGTGTCAAGAAGGTGCTGTGGATCTGGATAGGGAAGAACAAGCTTCAGCTTAACCCTAGCAAGACTGAATCGCTTTGGATTTTAGGGCTTCCTGGATCCAATGTTTTTTCCAGCTTTGGTTCTAGATGGGGTTGCGGTACCTCAAACAGAACTAGTGAGAAATCAGGGTGTCCTCTTGGATTCACATCTCCAATTCAAGGAGTTAGGTGGAAGCCATGGCCAAGAAGGCTTTTAAGAAATTTGTATTAATGCACCAACTGTGCCCTTTCCTGAACCAGGAGGTTCTCTCTCAGTCACACATGCCTTGGTCACCTCCCAGATAGATTAAAAAACTTCAAGCAGAATTGCTTGTTGTTCTGAACAGATTGAACTGACTTTTGCACACATTAGAGCTACCCTAAAAGCTGCTTTTCCTGCTCTGCCTGGAGAAGCTGATTAATCTAAGGAAGTATGATAGGATGAACGGTCCAGAACCTATAAGACAGGACTGGACTTTCCATGCATGAACCAAGGTAGAAACCCATTGCACCACCATTTGAATTGGAGGGATGGAGAAAACTTGACAATTTTTAAAATAAATCTCTCTGTACTTTCAGTGTCTTCTTTCTACATAGATACCAATCTATTTTATTTTGAGTTTTTTGAGTTAAAGCAACCAGGACCACATTTTCTACCATTAATTTTACAATTAAGAAATGACATTCATTTCAAAGGGGATCACTGCATTTCTCAAGGGTTTCCATTTAACTTCAGTTAAAATGGCATTACTTAGGGCAAATTTCTGAAGTTGTAGTATTATGGTGATTAGGAAGTTACAGTGCACAAGGTTAAAGAGCCCTAGTCTTACTAGCAACATTACCACTCACCATGTATTTTTAATCTTTGTTGAAATACCTGTTTTTAAATTATGGGTTGCACAACTATTCACTGTTGAATGTTTCTCTTATTTTTATTTGTCTGTATAGAGTAACCATATCCCATCTTGTTTTAGGTGTAATAGATTTTTATGATAATATATTGTGAGCTAGCCAGTCAATTGGATATATATAATGATAATTTTACCCATCTGAGATTTACAATCTGCACTACTATTACTGTTAATCTTGTCATCACTCCTTATCACCCATCCCCTCCCACATGTGACTGTATGACTGTAACTTTGTTGCTGGTATACTTAGAGTTTATATTGACTGTTTCCTAGTATGATTGATTCCTTATTATACCCTATGACTATCATTAAGCATCGTACCTTATGATTCTCAACTCCTGACGAATGTATCTTTTATGTATACTGAGAGTATTTACACCAAGACAAATTCCTTGTGTGTCCAATCACACTTGGCAAATGAAGTGTCCAAACAGTCCAAATAGCCCCAAACAAGAATCATGTGAGCAGCCTCTTTCCTATTTGTTTGGTCATTCAATTTCTAAGGCTGCTGAACCACAAAGTGGATCAAGTGCCTCTTTCCTAATTTTCATTTCATGCAAATACTTACTTGACAGCTCATCGGTCAATGTCAGACCTAGCTCATCCAGTACCTGGGAGACAACAGCATCACTATGAATAGAAAACAAAAAAGATGAAATGCACTTGTTTGCTTGGCTAATCAATCACTTCCCTTAATTGAATCTCAATTCTTATTTCAACTTCAGGTTGAATTAACAGATTTGGCTTTACTGTGCACAAATCTGGATTTCAGGGAGGGATTTGAAAGTCAAAAGCTATCATTGGCCAGCACTTTAGATGCCAAACTTTCTCTTCAATATGCAACCCTTATGAGCTTTCTTGTCCCCAATTCTAATTACCTTTCCTCCTCATCCTCTTCATCTCCCATCGCATCATCAATAGCATCATTCATCATCTCTTCCTTCATTTCCATGATCTCTGACTGCTTTTCAAATTCCATCATGATCTTCTGAATCTGAGGCAACTTGAGCTAAAAGAAGGCAGAAAATCTCAGAAAAGGAAACAAATCATCACTTGCTTTTCACCTTTTAAAAAGGAATGGAATTATTTGATACATTTATAGCATTGCCAATCTCACAAAAAGTGACAAGAGGAGGCTTGCCAGTGGAAAAGTTAAAATCATATTGCAATTTTTTAAAAAAGAAATAAATAAGAAACATAAAACATAAAAGCCTTCCAAGACAGCAGGACAACCATCATCTGGCCCCATTTACCACTTTACAGGCTCACCACAGAACCCCAGGCTGATGGAAGAACCCTTTTCAAAGTTTTTTGGAAAATTAAGAGAGATGGGGCTAATCTCACCACATGGGAAATGATGATACAGAGGGCAAAAATTGAAGCAGAAAAGGCATGTCTCCTGGGTCCCGTCACAGAGAATTCCTTAGCAGGTGAGACCCAGAGCAAACCTCTTCTGCTAGACCTGATAGGATGGATACATGAGACTGACAAGAGACATTCCTTCATATAACCTGATCCTGTGCCAATGTAGGCATTTAAAGGTCAAAAACGATACCCTGAATTACACCCAGAAGCAAATTGCACTCTGTTCCATAAGCCATCCTAAACACCCACATAACAGTCCACACACAGCTGCATTCTGCACCAAATAAAGCTTCCAAATGCTCTTCAAGGTCAGCAGCATGTAGACTGCATTACAGAAAACTATTCTGGAAGTGATCAGAGGATGAGCAATAGTGAGTAAAGTAACATCACGACAGTAGCAGATTACTGTTACTAAGAGATTTAATGTTCATTTTTTAAAAAGGATTAATTGACCAAGCGATAGTAAGAATAGTTCAGGACAGATTGCATCCAATCTGGAGAATCCTGTTAGAAAAATAATTCAGCTGCTGAACTGAAAAAATATATGTAAACTGTTGTGATAACTTAAGTGGCACATTCTCTATATTAGTCAATTTTAAAAATGCTTCTATTCTGTATTTTCTGCCAGACATTCATAAGATATCACCATTGTCTAGTTCTTCCCATTTAGCAGTTCCAATTTCCCTTCCTTTCTGAAAAACAAACAAAATAGATTTTGCAAGTAGTCCTCATTTAGCAACCACAACTGGTTGCCAATTAACTCAGTAATTAAATGAAGTGATCGCTAATAAAACCACTATATTTATGATCTCCAGGGCTGTCTTAATGCATTGCACTTGCCCGTGGGCCCCAGGAGCAGAGGCCCCATACTAATGTACCTTGTATCATATAAATACAGCAACTGTATGGCTTACTGAGTATTATTATGTTTTTCAAGCCTCATATATTGTTCAAATGTTTATCATGTTGATTAGTTGTTGCTTCCCAGCATGTTTTTAATGTTTCAATACCGATTTTGTTGGAAGTACCAATAAAATAAATGTCAATTTTATCAACCATTTACATTTTTATTCGTGTGAGTAGTTGTCTCAGGGGCCCTAGTACACTGCTTTGCCCGGAGCCCATAATGCTGTTAAGATGGCCCTGATGATCTCACATTCATTTTCCTTTGCTTTATAAACCTGCAAAAGCAGTAAATGAGAGGACTGCAAAATATCTTCATCAGTCTTCACTGCAAATGGTCACTAAAATGAGGCAGTCGCTAAACAAGCACTACATGTAATTTCTATTCAACAACCCACACCTACTATTAAAAGAAATAGCTTTTAGAAAGCTGTCTTTTGTCAAGTCAAATTATTTGGATTCCTAGTACCAGAAGCTTAAGCAAATCGATTTGAAAATGGACCTTCTAAATGCAACCAAATGCTCGGTCAGTGAGTATTGTACAGACTCAAAGGCAGCAGTTTAAAACACTTCTGCAGCTGAACTAGTATGCAGCTTACCCACCTGTCTGTTCATGGTAGCCATGGCTTTGGTGACACCTTTCATTGCTTGAGCCATGGAGTTGTTTGATTTGAGTGTCTGTATCTTAAGGGACACGGCCTGGATGTTAGCCCGCATCATGATGAATTTCTTGACATAGCGCCTTGTTCGCACCAGATCTTTAGCCATGATTTTCACAGCGTCCTAAGATGGGAGAACCAAGTTAGAAAGCAGATATGTAGATTTTCTTCTAATGGCTTTCAAAAACTGTATTTGTCTTTTCTTTCCAAACTCACCATCTGCCCTTGCTTGGCCATTTTCTTGATGTCAGCAATGATCTTTTTCTCCTGGGTCTCCAGCTTCTGCCGCTCACGGTCCAATTCTCGCATGGCACGGTTCAGAGCCCGTTGATTTTGCTTTAGCATCTCTTCTGGGGTCTTCCGGCGCCCAAATAATAGATCCATCCTGACAGAAAATGAGTTAGCCTACAAATCTTGAGGAAAAAGATAGATGTGGAAATATAAAACAAAGGAGCAAAGTATCTTTGTATAAAAATTACAAGGTTTGGCCAATACATAAAGAGAGTCTAATTTATTAAATATAATTATTATAGACCAAAGAAACCCCCAATCAGATTACTAAAATTACACTTAGAGTTTCATGATAAATACACTGCACTTCAGAGTGAGAACAACATGGAGAATGAAGACAGAAAACAATCACTGTTCTGGGAGACAAACAATTCTCTCTGTATGTGTTACTTCTATCATTTGGCAGCAAACTTAAGCTAGAGGGTTTTTTTTGCTGCAGTTTTATATCAACTTTTCTTATTTCCTTAACTATGTATCAAAAAGTCTACAGCACTACCAGTGTTCACTGTTCAAAACCTTGTGTTATATTATATTATATTACATTGTATTTTGTACTGTATGAATTATGTTAAATTTTATTTTATTACAATTTATATCAGTGGTTCTCAATCTTTTCTTCACCACAGATCCTCTTTAAATACCTTTTTGACCATGGCCACTGATCTCTAAGACTTAACTCAAGATTTAAATCATAACATTTCTTCAAGCCTTCACAGACTCCCCTGTGACAACATTGCGCCTTCCCCCAGGGTCTGCAATCCATAGGCTGAGAATCACTGCTCTACATTAAACACTCCTTCAGTATCTGATTTACTATTCATAACTCATTGTCTTCTTCTATGTAGTTTTCTGGTGAGCACAAGTTATAAACTGAGCAAATAAAAATGATCCAAATTAAGAGAAATCATTTATTAGACAGTAGGCAGAAGAATGAGAAGACAAGTCCAGTTTAAGTTTCCTGGCTAATTCAACCAGACTTATCCAGTTATCAGATATTTTGAAATTCACTGTTATTTAGAGAACAGCCTACACTTCAGAACAACCTACACTTCAGAAGGCAATGGGTCACTAATCCATATCGGTGCCAACTCCAAAACACAATCTGAATATGTGTATATTTACTGATATTTCTATGAGAGAGATCAAAAAATGGGCAGAGCTTGCTTAGTTACAAGCAAAAAAATGAAAATGCAATCCTTCCCTAAGAAACATCTGCTGTTTCAAAGCACCTTTTCTTAAGCCAGACGCCCTCCAAAGGTATGAACATGTTAGAAAGGAATTCTTGGTGGTAGAGTCCACTCATCTATATTCAGGTTGGACAAGGACCAAACTTCCTAAAAATCTACCATATTTCTATACAAATAATTTTTGGTTAGTCTTTATGAAAGGGGCATATTTAATATCAAGATGAAACTTTTAATACAGAAACAACTTTATTATTTTCTAAAAGATTGATCTCATAAAACCATATCCTTGGTTCTGCCCCTTTCTGTCACACTTCTGTACTTTTCCTAAATTAATGGCTTCTATATGTACTGGACTCAAACCTAGAATAGAGCCATTCTACCCTAATCTAATACATTCTAATCTAAATCTAGTAAATTTGAATGATGGAACAATCCAAATGGAATTGTATTTTTAATTACTCTCACTGAGTTCTAAAGACCAGAAGTCGCAACCTTGGAAATATTGAGAACCTGCCTGTCATAAATTAGATAGCATTAGATATGGGTTAAAGAGCTTGGTTGTTTGAACTAAAATAATGTAAATATATAGATCCAACAAAAATTTGTTATAATTAATGCACTCTCTTTTCTTTCAGAAATATATTTAATATACAGTTATCTATGTAAAGGCTTTGGGTTAAGAGAGTTATAACTCTCATGATGGGGAAACTTCAGGTGTTCTAATATGGCTGAAATACAACACCCAGCATTCAGTCATCATTAGATGAGCTAGAAAAGACTAGTGAGGATTAAGCAACTTTACATCTTTGTCATACAGAATATCCACCCAAATAAGTTACTGTATAAGGCATACTAATAATAATTACTAAAGATTGTGACTTGCCAACCATACAGTCTGGAAATTCTCAAATTTTCAATTGTCTTCAGAAACTGTTTTAACAAAAAAATAAGCATCATCATTTACACATAGGATAAGCATCAGCTAACCTAACACAGACAAAACAAAGAATTATAAAGAGAATCAAACCAAATCAATTTCTCCTTGGTCCAAAATAAATTTAAACATAAGTCACAATGAAGCTGCCTTGGCTAAGAAGCTTTTGACTACAAGTATTGAGCTATGTTACTTTACTTTAACAGGCTGCAGATTCATTTTTCAGAGACAGTAGGGGCTGAGTGGCATATAAATTTAATATATTATTGTAACAAATTAGAGTATTGAAAAATATCCTTCCTTACCCAACAGATAGCATGTGCATTCAATACATCATTCCAGTCAAATACCAGTCATAAAGACATCCAATGCAACAAACAAATGGAAACCTTTACAGCAGGGGTGTGAGACGATATTTCAGGGAGTGTGAAAACTTGGGTTTAGAAGTTTCAAAATTATAGTGTATATGCATAATTATATGCAAATAATTATTTATTTTTGTAAGGGGTGCGAGAATGCACCAGAAGCGTTCTAGAGGTGCAAGGTATAGAAAAGGTTGGGACCCCATGCTTTACAGTAATCTTCCAGAACCAGCCAATACTCCAGATGTGCTCTCCTCCTCTCCCCCATCACAGGGGATGATAGGAGAGGTAGTCCGTCACAGCTGAAGGACAGACTAGAGGAGCCTACTTTATACCACGGCAAAAATAGGACAAGCAGTATAAAACGAAGAGGCAAAATCGCCTAGAGGATGCAGGTCTGTACCTAAATTATAGGGCGGTGATGGTGGGCGGCAGGGAGTACTAGCAAGGGGAAAATAGGGTGGAAAAGAAGGAAGAAAGACAAAAAAGGACTCTCTCCCCGCCTAACAATGAAAGCTTCCGAGACCCCCGCTCTGAAACTACCCCCGCCCTCCGCCACTACCACAATTTACCGAGCAAAACACCGTCGCTTCACCTCGATACTTCCTCTACGCTCTTCTTCCGCCTCAGCCCACTGACGTCAGGGGAGTGGCATTTTGACGTCATGGTCACGCGGCTTGGAGAAACCAGAAGTCCTCCCTGATTTGCGCAGACTAGGAGGTGGCCCGGACCGGAAATTAAAGATAGAAGGAAGGGAAAGGAAGGATAGATTAAAGTCTTATATGCCCTTCTCGGTACTTCCGGGAAATTTTACGTGCCAACTGCGTTGAGAGATCTTTCAAAAGTACAGAGGGGTCCTCCCTCCCCGCCATGGTTTCCATAGTTTTTATTCCCAACTGTCCATCAGAGGCGAAAGTGTTAAAAAAACAACAAAAAAACAAAAAACGAGTGGAGAGGAAATGCTATTTTTAATCATATTTTTTTGTTCAGTAGTCTCCCATTTCCGATGGATGATGAGCAAACAAGGACAGCATTCATGCTAGAAAAGAAGAGTATTAGCCAGTTTGGTTTAGTGGTTACTAGGAAGAAGGCAACGAGCATTTCCGAAATCCTGCTAAGAAAACTGCAAGGACTTCTCCAGACAGCTGCCAGGAGTCAAGACTGACTTGAAAGGCACCTCCACAAAAATTATAGATAGTACTATCAATGAACTGCTTTCTGAAAGAGAATGTAGAAGCCTTGGTATTTGTCCCAGATATTCACATTGAGCATATCTTCAGTAAAAGCTTATGTAAACTGTGACATAAAGACCATATGGTACAAATCGAACTGGATCCAGACTTTTCAGAAGAATGGGATTTGGAAATGCAAGTATAGTAGTGCATGGGGATATAGGAATTTAAATGAAGTGGTCAAATCAGCTTTAATAGTAGCAATAAAAATAAAATCACGAATCAGCAAGCTTAATTTGAATTTTTAAAAATTGAATAACTTATAGACTTTTCTGACAGGCTAATATGCATTTTTTCGATAACATGGCTAATTACATCGAAATACTGGGTGACAAAATAGTAATTCAATATTACTTTTCTTTAAAAAATATTTTTTTTCACAACTGCCACCTTGAAAAATAATGGTTGGTTTATAATTGAGTTTCTATGGTTGAAGGAAAACCAAAACTCTTACGTGTTGAAGACTTGAATTATTTTTTAAAGAATGGCACCAAAAATATATAGAAAGGTTTGAAGATAGCAATTCATTCTTATTCTTCACACTTTCATACTACCAGTATTAGTCTTCAGCTTTTGTAGTTTGGAGATTTAATATCTCCAAATTCAGCAGATAAGGACAGGCAGCCTAGAATAAAAACAAATGTTAACATTTTTTCAAACTAAAATGCCAGTCCTTAGCCATAGACTGGACTAGACAACTACTGTTTTCAAATGAACCTTCCACTTCCCTTATATGGAAATGTTCCTTGTGCACCTTGCTACACATTTCTTTGTGCCTCAATTGTCTACAAAGTTGTTCCTGTCACTTTTGCATACTAATTGACATTTGATTTTTGTGACAAATACTTTTGCCACAGTATATTTATTAGATGTCAGTGCATAAAATTGGCAGTCTGCAGAGAGCTTGGCCAGGATTCTTTTGATATTGTCTTGTTCCACAAATAGTGAGATAAAATGATACGTAACCCAGTTATTTTAACCCAGCCAAATTTCATGCTAGAATTAACTATATAAAAACTGTATCAGATGGTAGCACATAGCTAATCTTCACGAAGTTTTTTTTTTTTTAAAAAAAGCTAAGCAAAAGGTAAGCAGACTTAAATGCAGGTAGTACTTGAAAACAAACTCTCGAAATTAAAAAAAAATGTAAACCACCTCCATGATGCTGTGAATGATATTATATGGATTTATTTTCTTTGGACTGAAATTTCTCTGTTAAGTATGCAAAAGGACAAGAATATTGCTTTTCAGTCATTCCTTCACTTGAGCAGAGAACAAGGTGATCAGTGGAACATTTATCATTTACGTTGTAGGTCTGCTTGATCATAGCAAAAAAGCACATCACATTGTTCTTTATTTTGGAGGAAGAAGGAAAGTAATTTAACCACTCCAACCTTGTATTCAGGTCTTATTTCCCTTGAGCTGTGTTTTAAGATTACACTTCTTAAAAAACACTGCATTAAAAATATCCTGTGCGATAGCACAATATGGTTTGGATAGATAACATTTCTGGTTCCATCCTTGCTACTGCCAATTTTTTTTTTAAAGATGCCAGACTACAACTCTTCTAGTCAGCTATATTTCAGCTATATTGGCAACTGCGTTGGCTAGAGATGCTGAGAAATGAAATCTCAACTGCATCAGTCAGTCAGGCCAGGATTATGTATAAGATTACACATTTATAAATGCAGACCCAGTATATTTAAATAATAGTTGGTTCAAGCCAAGGATTCATGATGCATATAAGCACAGTGATCTCATTAGACACCATGAACAGGGGACAATGGAGTGTTTTGTATGACTTAGTACAAAATGCTCCAAGAATGATGTAAGAGCTAAACAGAAGCTCCTGAGAATTTTGAAACAAGGTGGTGACAGCTGACCTTCCCTATTATCTTCTTGGTTCCTAGTATATACCATTAAGACACGTGCTTTATACTATTACAAAGGAGGCTGTAAAAATAACAAATGAAAGAGGGAAAGAGTAGGGGAAAAGGCAGAAGAGTAGCAATTTGTTTTACCACCACCAATTAAGCACTACAGTGCTTTATTATGGTCATGGCCCATTGACGACTGAGACACTCCAAGGTTAAATAAAAAAGCATGTTTCAGTCTGTAAATTATTTTTATAGGCTTAGAAGTCTTTGCCTTTCTGCAATACTGAATCATTAACTATTTGCACATGAGCGCACTTCTCAATTAGTTGAAACAAAATTTAGTGATTCATGCAGGAGAGATTATAAATTTTCAGATCCACTGCCTGCACCTTCAGAACAGAAGGGTAGAAACTTCATAGACACACACACTCAGGATTATCTGTAGCTTTCTTTCAGCTATTAGTACACCATGAAAAATGGGAACGTATCATTCCACTTTTTCATTTGAACAATTTTAGAAACTGGCATAATAAAAGTGCCTGTACTGAAAGAAAAGAAAGTTGAGAAAAAAACCAATATTTACTAGAGTATGTGGTTCTGAAAATGACTTGATGGCATAGCATGCAGTTGCAAAATTAACCCAATCCAGATGCTACAAGGCATCATGTATTTTATTCCATAAATAGCACTAGTCCTTGACTTTTGACAATTTGAGTCCAAAACTTCTGTTGTTAAACATTTAAGTGAGTTTTGCCACATTTTAATACCTTTCTTAACAAAGTGAATCCCTGCAGTTAAATTATTGGCAAGATTGTTTAGTAAATCTATTGGTTCTGCTTAAGTCGCAGAAGGGGATCACATGAACCCAGAACATTGCAACTGTTGTATGAACCAGTTGCCAAGCATATGAATTTTGAACGTGTCCATGGGGTTGCTACAATGGTATGAAAAAGTCATGTCATTTTTTCAGTGCCATTGTAACTTTGAACAGTCACTAAACAAATTACTGTTAGTCAAGAACTACCTCTACCTTAGAAAATTTCATTAGCATATTGTTAACAATTTTAAAGAATTCTCAAAATGTAAGGAGGGAACTGGGAAACGTTAAGATGGACAAGGGTGCTAAACAGAACTCTTTTATTAGATTTTCTTACAACCTTCTTTGTATATACAGGCACTGAATATGTATTTGTATAGTGTGCTCATGACTTTCCTTTATGAATTTGGGAACCAAGGAAGGCTATAATTGGTTTACTTAGTTTTGCATATAATCAGCGTCTCCCCAATTCTAGTAAAAAGTGCAGTATATCGCATTAATTGCAGCATAGACCCAGACCAGGTTAAGCTCACAGCACAGGTACGCTGGATGTATATGCTTAAAACTAATAGGTAGCATCAGTAATTGATAGGAAAATGCAATTTTCTAGAGGCAGTTTGTGAAACGGATTTTATCAGCAAAGCAGAATTTATCATGGTGGAAGATTGGAATCTTTGTTCGATTCTGTATCATAGAACAGTCATAAAATCAATTCTGTTCTAACGATTACACAGAGATGTCCAAGTATGTAGGCAGAGTGTTCTGTATCAATTGTGGAACTGTACTTCCATTAAGGGGGAAAATGTGTCTAACTAGTATGACAAAGTCAACATTGTCAAAATGTTCCCATCACTTCTTTAGCACTCACCTCGTTTGTTCCATCTCCTGTTTCTCAGGATGGCACAGAACATCACTGTGACCACTGTCCAAACCAATACACATCACTTTCCTCTGCCCACTCCACCCCTGTACCAACCAGGGAAGAAGGAAGCAGAAAATGAAAGGCAAGGGGCAAATTGAATGTGCTAACATTCCCCTTTAATAACCCGACACACTAGAATAGAATTACAGTGGCTTTTTGTTGGCCAGGGACTTGCAGGAGTCACTGGAGAGGCAGAGTAGAGTTCATTGTTGGGCAGGCCCCAGTAGACGATAGGATCAGCAATGTCCCTGTTACTTTTATTACTACTACTATTAGCATTGGTGGGTTTGATGGTGGTGGCTTTATTAGGTTTTCCTTAAAAACCAGACACCCAAATGAGTTGATCCTAGAAGAAATATCCCAAGCCTGGCCAAGCCCCTCCCCCTTGAGCCACAATGCCTGGGGCAGAGTGAAGGCAGATGAGCACCCCGCTCCAGGCTTCCACCAGTCCTCAAGAGCCTCCCCATTTAATAAATAGTTACGGTAAGAAGCCGTGGTGCCCAGCAGGAGAGAAAAGGAGAGGCAAGTGGCCTGCAGATCTCGCAGTTGAATAACACTGCACTTGCAGGAAGGAATGCCAGAGCACATAGGGAGCCTTCTGTTCTTAGCAGCAAAACCACAGCTCCCAGAAAGACCGATGGGGTCCCACACAGTCAGGAACAGGTGGCAACCCCAACACAAGGAGTGAGACAAAGAAGCAGCAGTAACCTCAGACCTCACCCCACAGCAGCAGAGAGAGAGCAGTGAGGGAGGTACAAGGATCTGGTGAGACAGTGACTGCTGAAGCTCCAGGCTGGCAGGGGGCAGTAGGGTGAGCAAATGGGGCAAAAAGGGGGAGAAAAAAGAAGATGGAAAGGGCCCCCTGCCATTTCTGACTCCTGTGCCCCCTTGAAGGCAGCAGTGTTGGCCGAGTCCCTTAAAAGAGCTAGAAAGGGAGATGAGGGGAGAGGGAAGGGGAGCAAGTTTGTGCCCGGAGCCAGTCAGTTTTATTTGAGACAGCGCTCAAAGTAGGTGGAACCAATGTAGCCACCCCGCATCGAGCGCTGGACGTTCTGCTCAAACAGGCGTCTGTTGTTCTGGAGTACTTCAGCAGCCTCTTTGTTCAAGGGGTCTTCAGGGTTTGGCTCCTAGAGAGGGAAGAAAACACCATTAAATTCCAGGGTTTTGTGGTTAAAGGCTTTCATGTACAAGGACTCCACTGTAATTGGGCTGCAAGAATAAGCAACAGCATCTTACCCCATTTTACTTAGATTATTTAACTATCTTTTTAAAAGTCAGTTTTCACCCACCATAATTTTGCCCTCTATTTACCAATAGCATAAGCAGGACTCCAAAAGAACAGACCCTTCCTAAAATATTAGGCTATTAAAATGTGTGGGCAAGAGAATTTTACATTGACGCTTGCAAGATTAATGTCAGTCTTACCAGGAAGACCAGACAGGAAGTATCAAATAAGCTAATTTTACATTATGAAACTATATTAAAACACTGTTACAAGTTTCAAAAGTATAATTTTCTTGCTGTCACTTTTATAGACTGATAACTTAAGAAGAATCCCTCCTATGGAGATCTTGCTCTGCCCTCTATATGCAGTTGTAGCTTATGGTTTCTCACTTCTGGTCATTCCCTAGACAGCTTTTCCTCTGATCTCCTAAGGCCATTCTCATATATACCAATCAATCAAAACTGTAAGATCAATCAGAATTCCTAATATCTATAACAATATATTCTATTGTTATATAATGGAACTGCTTTTTGGAAAAAATATTTTTGCCAATAACTAGAAAGTTAAAACCTCAAGAGGATTTTTTGTACTACTTCAGATAATTTGTGCAGGTCAGGCTGTCAAAAATCCAATTTAATATATTTAAAAATACATGTGTATTGCTTATTTTTATTGAAAAAAATCTATATATTACTTGCAAATTCAAAATAACCCGATTTTAATTATACTTCAGTGCTCTATAGATATACCACAAATAGCCAATTCATCCATCTTCTTCAAAATAATTAAACTTATTTTTGTAGATGAAAAAGGACAAAATGTTATTAATACAACAGGCTGTTAAGCATTCGTTACGATAGGTTATAGAGTGCCCTTAAAAATTTTATTCAGTGGAACATTCTGAATTGTCAAATTTATGATGCCATTTTGGAAATAGAGGGTGCCAAATATTTTGTTTTAATTTCTAACTTATTCCACAAAAATAAATCCACTGATGTAATGTTCCCCAAACAGCATTTTAGTTAACAGGCTCATAAAAAGACACTATACTGCAAAACAGGAGGGACAAAAGGGTTTTGAGATCACACTCTTGGATAGTACAGAAAAGTTCTATTTTGTTGGAAACAAATGCTTTAATTGTGAGTAGTCAAATTTATTCAGGAATAACAATATTAGAAAGCTAAAAACTTGATTTAAAGCACTCTACAGCATTCTCATGTTTGCCACAACCTATAAAGTCTTCCAACCATTTTATTTTGCAGTTATTATCAAGTAGGATCTTGTGTATTGGGAAATTCCCCTTCCAACTGATAGCACAAGAGATACATTTTCCCAAAATGTAATGATACAAACTTGCTTTTATTTCATTCACAATCCATCTAATCTACAGATTCTTCAGGAGCACACTGTGCTTTGCTTATTGTATCATTTCTCCCCAATCTTACATTAATTCTTTCTGCCCAGATCAAGCAGGAAAATAGTGCTCTAGCCTTAGTACCGTTGTTTCCCACCTCCTTTACACATATACTTACCAAGAAGAGATACTGCAGGCCATAAATTATAGAGTTTATTGTTAGTACAGGCTTCCAGTCCTCTCTGTGGGCCAAAAAATAATAAAAAATGAGCACAGACTCAGGAAACTTTGACCAAATGAAAAATAACAAAATAAGATTGATTTAACTTCACATTGTTAAAATAAAATTGCATGTAGTGTTCCAAATTAAATTATGTTCAATAACCTAAATCCTTAAAAAACGAAGTCAATTTTCATTTTGGACCTTTCAAATGTAAGACACTTTTAAATTACATTTTCATGTAATTAAATACTGACAATATCCCAAGAGTACAATTTTTGTCAAGCTTCTAAAAGGGCTTCCCCCACCCCTTACCCTTTTAATTGTGATAGCATAACAGGATTAAAACAAAACAGAAATATGTTTAACATTCCAAATACTTAAAAAAATCAGTAGGACTTAGAAATACAGCCGTTAGAATGGAAGACTGCCTAATCCATGCAGGCTGAAGCTGAAGGCAGTTCAATATACCCTGGGGGCATCAGGGTAGTGTAGTTGAATTCATAAACAGAAAACTATAATGAAATGTGTTTGGGTTTGCCTGTGTTACATGAATACAACCAACCTAGCTTAGCACAGAAGTCAACTGTTGAAATCTGGAAATCACATTTTATATGAAAACCAAGGACCTCATGGATAGGCAATGATGCAAAGTGGGTGATACGAATTATTTTTTGTTTGTTTGTTTGAAAGGATTAAAATAATGATTGTGATGAATTGCAGAACTTGCAGTAAATTTTATGTATTTGCATTAAGATGATGAAGAAACTGCCACCAATTTTCAGCAAATTGGACGGAGCCACAGAGTCCCCAGGCAAAGGTTTGCCCACCCCTTGTTTCCTATCATCTGTAAATCATGCTTTATTCAGTAAATGTAATTCATCAGTTTGAATACAAATTGGCTCAAAATGCATGATATTCATTTCAAAAACAAAAATATTTCTGCAATGTTTGTTCTTAAAACTTCCTTTAATCCTGCAAACAAGAATATATAGGAATGAAAAGAGAATATATAAGAACACCAGAACATGTTTTGCACCTGAGGATATTTAGGCAAACATTGCCTTCTAAATCTATATTTGGATGATACACCATAGTCTCACACTTGACTTTGGGAGGATCATGTGGATAACCTTGCCCGACCTGCAAGCAAAACACAAAACAAAAAGCACTGTGTCAGTTTTTTCATGTTTGATGTTGTCCATTCAATGTTTCAAAATTTGGGCCATCTACATAACTATCTGTGGCTTTCCCATTCTTCACTAATTGTTTTGCCAATAGATTTGGGGTTTTGCCATGTCTGAATGGTACAGAAGATAAATTATATTTGGAGCCATGCAATGCCCCAAACTAGAATGGAGAAACAGGAGAGGAGTCTTGGCTTCTCTATCAATGTACGCAATGCAGTGTGTCCAGATAACTGATATCCACTATTCAATCAATATTTCAATGTGAAACATTTATTTATAGGGCTGTTTTAATTACAGTTTTGTTTTAAGAACTTGATTGTAGAGTACTATGAAAACAATTGCTACTAAGTTGCTGACATCATGAGCTCCAAATCCTTATAAGTACGAACACTGACAAAGATCCAAATGATAACCGTAGAGTAAAATAATGAACCATACATGCTACTCTGAAAATCTGGAAGGATACAATAAAAATGAAATTGTTTCAAAGAGAGTAATATTTTTCATGAACACTTAGTGCTACAAGCATGAATCTTAAATATTTTCACTGAATTGAAAGTACTGAGCATTTTTGAAAACATTCCAAGTTGCTTCCCATAAGAGTCCTTCCCTCTGATCACTTTATTTAAAACTGTTTTAATATTTCATTTTTGCCACCTCAGGAAGGAAAGACTAATTCTCCCTGGAATTCTCAGCAGAAATGTAAATATTAGACCCTTTTCTGATAAACAGCCATAAAATTTCCTAATTTCTAGTGATAGTGTAGTTCTGGCTCTCTGAAAAGATTTTTTAAGCAAAGTTAAAACAGAAATGGCAGGCATTGCTACAGTATGAAGTTTCCTGGTTTCTTAATCTCCAACCAGAGAGTTTTCTAAAGTTTCTGTATTAACTTTATTTTAACCCAATTGTTGTAAGATTTTCATACTTACTTTTGACACAAAGGGAGGTATACATAGTTTATCCTAAGCATTTTTATTAGAAAAATTTGCAAAAGTTTTTCTAATATTTAAAAGCAATTCAAATTCAAGCAATTTTGGGTGTCCTGTGCTTTAACCAACCTAGGTATTCAGACATGTATTAATATTCATTACTGGATTTTCTTTAAATGAAAACTGAAGCTATTGGAATATCAATATACACCTAACAAGTATATGCTGAGCATATGTAAAACCAACTTATTGGAAGACAATGGAATATCTGTCTAGTAAGCCAGCCTAGATTTCAGACAGTTAATACATCATGAAAACAATTTCTTCAGGTATTATTTTAAGAAACAAAAATAATGGATCTAATTTCAAATCTCATGCAGAACGTTGTGAAATCACATATATGGTTATCATTGACTATCACATGTGTCCAACATGCCATTTTTGAAACATGTCATTTGAATCACAATGATATTTTAAGTGCAGCAAATCACTAACCAAATATTTGTCATATACAATTAAATTACAGATCATTTCAAGTTTCTGAAAACCCATACACAAAAACATATCCAGTGACCCTCAGACAATAACAATTAACAGTTGCTTTCTTCCGCAATGATTCAGGACTATTTCTTATTACTACTGTTTTTCAAAATTTCTTTCCTTCTCAGCAACTGATTTATTTTATCAACACTCTTTAACAGCCAAAACATCTAGGGCAAAATTAGTTGATGAGTTCTCATCTTTATCATAGTTCCAAGGATACTTGGGATTTTACACAATTGCTCATTAACTAAGCAATCTACTGATTGGAGACCCAAAAAATTGAGATTCCCCACTTCAGGAGCAAAACCCAGCTCAGTTCTAAGTAGAAAACAGTGAAGCATCAAACACATTTGATTTATGACAAACTACAATTCCCAACCTCTGCCCTGAATTAAATTGTCATGCTGACATTATTCAACCGTATATTGCTACCTAAATTACACAGGGATGGCTGAAATCCAATAATTGATATTATCCATGTTAAGTTATTTTGTGCGCCAAAAAGCTAGATATATAGTATTTGTCCTATTGGATGTCTTAGATAGCGAGCAGAGAAAGATTGCTTACCTTAAAGCTGAACACAAATTTCCCACCTTTATAAAACCCCTGTAAGGCAAACATTGGATAATTTAAGCAAATATCTTTCCAAACAGAAGGAAACAACTCTTATAAATTTCAGATGTAGGAAAATGGGAGGTGGACAGCACTAAAGTTACAACAAAGCAGTTCACTTCAAATCCCCCAACATAAACCATCAACTTCCCCAGATGTTTATCATTTTAAGGCATATCTCTTTAGTTCGCATTTCCAAATCCCAGAAATACAATCAGCTACTCAATCTAGAATAGGCCAAAAATATACGGAAAATAGAGAATTCTTAGCTGCTTAGCTTTACATGCATTTCTGCAAGTAAAGAAGCAAAAAGAGTAGCAGACAGGACATTGTACTCAGAAGAGGACAGAATCTTTATTTGCTAACATTCTGACTTCTGAATTGGATTGTGCTTCAATATTCTGGATCAAAGAGCAATCTGGGAATGTTTCCTCTCAAGGAAATTTGTCACAGAGATTCATCTTATGTATCTTTATATATTTGCTTTAAAGATATCACATCAGATTAAAAATGGAATGTTAAAATTCTCCTTATTGTCTTCTCATTCAACATTCTCCCAGCTTTAAAATAAGTTACTTTGCAAAGATATTTTACCTACCCTTGTACAAAATGGACCACATTGCATTCAAAATGTGAACAATTTTAAGCAATAATGGACTTAAAGCACAAAAGTAAATATATCACAGACAAATACTGATATGAATCACAGGATACATTGGTCTACTGAATCATCCCACACACAAGTTTCCCAACCAAAGTAACCAGTAACCAATCATTACTAAAGACCAGCATCTGAAGAGATAGAACACTCATGTGTGGCCAAAGTCATTTTCAGTTAATATAAAAAGACTACACACCTCTTTTAAAATGCTAGGTTTTTTGAGATGTAAAAAAAAAATCAAACCAAGATTTTTCAGATTCCCCCCCCCCCATCTTTAATATATGCTATACAACTTAACTGAAAAATGAACTGCAACCTCTTTTTTGGGGGGGGGGAGGGGGGGAATAATAATAATAAATGTATGGCTACATTAAGCATGCCCACTCTTATAAGTAGGGTGGTGGTTGTGTTCAGAATTAACCAATCACATTCAAGCTGATGTAGTAGTTAGTACACATCTGCCATCAGAATATCAAGGCCTTAGAAAGTTCAATTGTTCTAGTAAGGTTTTTCCGACATTTATTCAGTTGCCTTTTACAGCAAAAATCATAGTCCAAATAGAGTTTACAAAGCATCAAAGGGACCTCATTGTTGGAAGGTTTTTGAGATGTAAAAATATCAGCCCAGGATAAATCAAATCTTGGTCTGATTGTTTACATCTCAGAAACATGTTACATACATTTTAACATGTATGTAGACTTTTTATATGCTATATATACACATATATAAATCTTTTACTATAATTACCCTAAAAACAAAAAAATAGATTTAATACTTATGGTGTAGTGACAAGCTAAGAAAGGTATGTATAAGTACATAAAAATATGGCAGGATGTAATGAACATTTAGATAGAATCTCCCAGACAGTATCATCCCTCCATGCACTACTCTTCACAATTTCAGATACAAGACCCCTAATGATTAAAGCTATTTTCAATAAGTAGGTTTTCCCCCCCAAATTATATCAATTCCCCAAACAAATCATATCAGTCATCATTCCTTATACAGAGGAAAACACAAAAGGGAAGGTGGGAGGTCAGCCATGGCACAGCTTATTAACTCACTAATAATGGGGCTTCAGGATTCAAATAACATAGTACGGAGTAGCATGTACATCACTCACCTCATCAGGGCAGATAACTAGCTTAAAATTGAGAAGATCGTCCTGGTCTGAAAAGTCTATTTCGCATGTTTTCGGCAAATTCAGTTCATTTATATCTGTGAGGAAAAGCAGAAGAAATTGCCAGTTTAGAGAAGGCAGATGGTTATAAAGATTTGTGGCCAAATCAGTAGAAAAAGAAGTCTCTATTCCCAAACCAAAATATATAATTGCCTTTTATGTTGATCATTAAACAAAACTGATACATTTCTCTCAAAACTTTTTAAAAAAGGAAAGAAACCCAAGTCAATAGTTTCCTGACCACAAGACCAGAAGGTAAATTTGATCCAATCGCATGACATCCTAATCTTCCTAAAATTTACAGTCACTGCATATTGTACAAAATGAAACAAGAGCTTACAACTATTAAGGGACAACTAAGTTACTATAACATATGGAAGACAGTACATTATAGGCATGGTTTTAATTTGAAAGAGAAAATGAGTTATTTTAAACAGAAATTATAAAGCAGAGCACGTGTCCAAGATAGGATAATTAATAGAAAACACCCCATAGCTCATTCTAACTTCAAGGTTTATAAAAAAAACAGTAGAGTTGCTCAATAGCCAAAAATCTATAGACGGAAGGACAAGGAGGGTAAATCAGCAATATGCAGTTTGAGAAAGTATTCAGGTATCTACAAATTACTTTAGGCCGGTTATACTGTTGATAGCTCATCCTTTGAAGAAAATCAGACCACCCTGGTTTTGTGAGCCTGAAAATCCAGATAACAAAAGAGTTAAAAAGAATCAGGATCTTCCCATGAACTCCTTAAGCAGCCACTAAGCAGGAAGGGCTTTCCCGCGGCTCTCCTTCACCAAAGTTTGGCCTGGCTTTTAAGGGCTGCTGAATGAGGATCACTAGATAAGTGTATTGAGAAAAACCGAACCACTGAGGCAGGAGACTGAAACGAACAAAAGCCATTATGTCCATCAGCGGAGGAAGAGCAAGCCCTGGGTAGGCAAAGCAAGCCCTGGGTTAGTCCTGCCGACTCAGGTACCCACAACAACACTACCCAATGATCCTTGCGCGGCAGGAGGAGCCCTGCCCTCGCCGGCCTGGCTTTTGTTTCTTTCCTCTTAAGAACCAAAGGCAGCTGCCTAGATATCTGCCTCCCTGACCTTTCTGGATGCGGAGCTGAGCGGCAGACGCTTTCTTGCTGGAGCCTTTGGTGCCGCCCGCCGATTCCTCCTCCTTCTTCTGCTGTTTCAGCGAGAATAACTTGATCATCTTGGCTGGATCGGCGGACTGTTCTTTCGTCCTTCTGACCCTGGCCTCGACCTGTCCCCAGCGGCTCCCGCAGCCAGGCCCAGCTCAATACCAGCTCGGCTCTTGAGAAAAGAGAAAGGGGAAAAGAAGGGGGGGAACGGCGATTCCCGCGGCCTGGCCTGGCCTGGCCGGCCGAGAGAGACGGGACGGGAAGGGCGGGGAAGCCGGGCGAGGGGTGGGGGGAGAGGAAAGGAGACGGGAAGGAGAGCGATCCAGGGAAAGGGCCAAGCAACCGGGGCAGCCCCGCCTCAGAACTCCGACGCCGCCGGCGCTGCTTTTTCTATTGCAGGATCCGTGTGTAAGTCGGACGGCAACGGATAGCCCTCTTCGGCCCTTCCCGGAAGAACGTCAGCAACTTCCGTCTCAAGCTCCGCCCACTTGCCCCCTCTCCGAAGGCACTCGCTTGGAGTCGAGTGACGCTTTGGAAAGCGATCGGCCTTTACGGGCAGCCTTCTTTGACTTTTTTTTTTTTAAAGTTACCCTCGTGGTTCTCCGATTCGGTTTTCTGTCTCCTCGGGCTTCCGCCTGTGGAATCCGAGGCAGGGATTTCCGCCCGGCTTCGGCTCTCAACTTAGAATTCTGGGACTTCCAAGAGCCACAGCGTCATAGCGCTTTTTAAAGATGTCCGGTTCCCAATTGATAATGGCAATATGCTGGGTAATCATTGCGGAAGGGGTGTGGGGGTGGAAACAAAACCAAGCATCGAACTTTTTATTTCAGTATATAGTTGCTTAAAGCGTCGTCTCAGTAAATGTCCCGCGAATGCTGAAAGAGAAGGAACGAGGTTTCTCTCGGCCTTCTTTTGCTCAAAGCGTTTGAGCCTACCTAACAAAGTCGTCCACGTGCATAACGGAAATGAGGGTTTGCGAAGAAATCTCTCGTTTTGTCTCTTTTACGCTCAACTGTGCTCACCCCGCAGTTATCGGGAAACGTTTCTGCTTCAACTAGTCAAGCGTTTGGATCTCACAGGCACAGCAGAAAGTTTCCTCAGAAATCCGTATAGATTCCGCTTTCCTGCAAATTAGTTTCCCAATTGTTCCATATTTTAACATGCATGGGGGATAGTTATACTCTTGAGCCTGCACTAGTCCTTGCGTTTTGTCAAATATATTTAAATAGTAACTTTATTTTCAAGATTTCTTATGCTGCTTATACATTCTGTGGTTTTAAGGAGTCCCCCGCTATTAATGAGCACCCCACTAGTGTAAACATTTTGCAACTACATAGAGCTAATCCTCAACTTCTGACCACAACCGAGCCCCAAATTTATGTTGCTAGGTGAGACACTTGAGAATTTAGCCCCATTTTACAACTTTACCACAGCTGTTAAGTGAATCTGGCTTCCCCACTGACTTTTGCTTTCAGATGCTGGTCTGATCACATCCCAGGATACAGCAGCCTTCATAAATATGAGCCATTTGAGCTATCTGCCAAATTGCTGGATTTTGATCATGGGCACGCTGCAATGATAGTTAAGTGTGAAAAATGGCCATGTCACTTTTTTCAGTGCCATTGTAACTTTGGTCACTAAGTGAACTGTTGTTGAGGACTTACCTGTATTTGGTTTCTATGGTCACTCATTGCTCAGTTTGAATGGAGAACCAACTTTTGGGAACTCTTGTGCAGAAAATTAGGGGTTTTGAGGTGTTCAAATGCTATTTTTTTTCTCTTCTCCAAGTTCATTTGGGCCCCCAAATGGCAGCATCTAGTCAATCTTAACAGCTCTTGGTGCCAATCAAGTACAATAGATTTAGTACTTCTGAGTAATTACTACTTTAAATTAATCCCAGGATTGTAGGTTGGACTACGAGGTGACAAAACTAACCCAAAAGGCAACAGAAGTGTTGAGGAAACTGCAATACAAACATCTTTGTAGCCACAATAGATTTGACCAATTTTATTGTAGTCACGGTTTATTATTTTGATCCACTGGAAGCATTTTTTCTGTTTATGACAATTGGGAGCAGTTTCAGTTGTCAAGCACAGCCACTGAGTGGGGCCTGATTTTGACTTTTTCACCAAGTTTGTAAAAAAACTTACTGCATTTAAGTGTATATCTTTAAATCAATCTGGCTTCTCCCAACTGTGAAGGCCACCCAATAATTACATGACCTTGGGATATTGCAGCTGTTGTGAACACATCCCTGTTGCCAACGGCCAACATTTTGATCATGCGACTGGGCAGGCTGCAACAGTGGTTAAGTACAAAGATTGGTCATAGGTGTTTTTTTTCAGTGCTGTAGGCACATTGATCCACCAATCATCTGTCTTATAGTAGCATTCTGCCATTTTATCATTCCGTTTGCCCGCTTTTTTTTTTTTTTTGCATTATGATCAGATTTCTCCATTAAAAAAAAATTCTGCACACTAAGCTTCTTTCAGCTTATTTGAATTACTGCCAAAATACATGGCAAAAATCCCTCTACACTTACAAATTTAACAATATTTACTCCTAAGTTTCTAAATATATCAAATATTTGTAGTTTCTAGGATAGCTGGAATTGGTAATTTCCATTTTGAAAATGTTCTCCACATTTGCTTTAGCAGTCCTTCATACTAACCTACTAGCTTATAGGGTATATTTTTAATTCTTATACAGTGTATTTTTAAGAATTCACAATATAATTAATGTATTATCTTTGAGGTTTTTTCTTAGAAACTACTCTCTTCATTTCCAACACTACGTCCATGTGTTTTAATAAATAACTTAAAAACCTTCAGTTAACTTTTTTTTACTCCCTTTCATACAACATATGAAATGTTTGTATCCTAAAATCATTGTTACCCTTAGCTCTTTCATTTCTACTTACTGGCGTATATAATTAAGGGTTCCATTGTATTTGAAAGACATCAGGTTGGGAAAGATCATCTCTACATCCAGTTATGACTCAGCAGTTACATTAACTATAAGAATGCTTGCTGGAGTTTTGAGAAAGCCATTCTTTGCTCACTTGACTTCCTTTTATTTTGAAGTCAAGATGGAAAAACAGCTTTTGTCTGTGTGCTACTTTTACACAATTGCAGTTCTGGCATATTTGTTGCAGTTTTTTTTTCACCTGTATGAATTGACCATAGAGGTCTTGAGCCAGGAATTTCAAGATAATAGATCTTCACTTTTTGATTTAAAAAGAAATCTTGTTGGTTTGCTGTGTGGTTAAATTAGTATGTTACTTTAATCTTTTAAGTAACAGGATGAACTTAACCAAAATAAAGTTAAGCCTAGCTCATGTCTTTAATCCAAATATGCACAGAAAAATCCTCAGTTTAAATTTTGTTAATTCCACAAAAGATGAGAAGCAGAAACACTGGAGTACACATCTCAGACATGACTGCATTGGGAAAATGATACGGTTAAACACAAAGAGTGATTTAATCAAATGTGATTTAAGCATGGCATATGAAGGTCTACTTGATTACACTTACAAGCCAAATCATTATCTCTCAGGTGAAAGCAACTCCCTTACATTAATCATTATGAAATGTTTCCAAACTGACAAAACACAGAAGTTGCAAACATCATTTATTTTTTGAACATGAAAGAAGTAAGTCTATACATAAGCAAAAAAAAAAAAAGCACATTTCCATGAAAGCGTCTCTTCAGACAATAAAGAATAAACTACTGGGCCCAAAAGCTTTTTAAAGAAATGGAGAGCCAGAAAGGACAGCTACAAGGAAGGAACATGTGGGTTTAAAAAAATCTACAACTACCCTCACCTATAGAAACTGACATGACTCCTCGTGAGCAAACAAATCCAGAAGCAGGAAATCCTGTTTTCAAATAAAACAATTACCGCTTGAGAAGAAAGCTGTCATGGCGGGCCAACTGTTGCTTTTGTCAGCGGTCCACTTAGGCTTGTACCAGGATTAGGAAGAAGTTCACAAATTATGCCAAAACATGATGTTCTTTATCTTCTTACGAAAAAGAGATTAAGACTGAGCCTGATTCTAAAAACAATCCATGTCTTAAAAACTCACCAAGACTAATCCAGTATATTTGAAGGGGCAATGATTCCTTACTGGGGGATTCAATAACAGCTTCTTCCTCAGTGGTTTTAAAAAATCTCTATATTGTTCCCACTAGGAGCAAAAAGGAGTCAAATTGGAGAGCATTAATTAGTTCCATTTTATTGTTATAACCATATCAAAACAAAAAAAATCAGGAAAACGGCATAAATTCTGTCAAACCAAAAATGGGAGAAGACATTCAAATCTGTATGACCATTATCTAAGTAGACGTTTTAAGGAAAAGCAACTTAAAATGGAAATATTCAACATCAGTTTTTTTCCTTGGTGAAAATTTGAGAAAAAAGTGTTAATAAGGGGAACCTCTATACTGTTCCCATTAGGACTTGAAGGAAAAAATTCAACTGGAAAACATACAGACTTCTAGATTACCTCAGATTAATTAGTATTTCTGTGAGAATAAGGGATAGAATTTATCAAAAAAAAAAACTTTTCAGACCATTTAAAACATTATCTAAGCCAATATTTTTCAACCTCAGCAACCTAAGCCAATATTTTTCAACCTTCAGGTATGGACTTTAACTCCTAGGATTCCACAGAACCATGCTAGCTGGGAAATTGCTGAGGTTGAGAAACACTGATCTAACCAGTCAAGATCTACAATAACTCTCCAAAAAAAGCAGAGGTAAGGAAAAGGACAAAGAGGGATCAATAGAGTGGAGGGGAATGGGTGAGAGTAGGTTAAAATTGACAGCTCCCTCATTTTATCTCCATGGAATGGTGGTCCATTGAAAATAGTAACCTTTTAGATTGCCATTCCCTCATCCCCACTGCTGCTATCAGCCTTGGAAGACATGGCCTCACCCGGATCAGTGACCGGGGAGATATGGGAAGCAATAGTGTTTTCTTTTTGTGGTTCATCAATGTTGATTGGCTCACGTAGAGCTGAAAATTTCCTGTCACCAAAGGCAGCACTCAGTTTGGTTTCAAAGAAGCGTTGCAGGACAATGATGGACTGAACATCCTCCTTATCCTAAAAAGAAAAAAAAAAGGGGGGGGGGTTTAAAACATTTGGAATCCTGCCCAACTAATACCACCAGCCAAGATCAGTGCAAGCGGAATATGCCAATGTTCCCAGATCTCTTAAATCCTCAAGTAGCTACATCATGTATATTACATCAAAATCAGTAGCTGTAGCTACTGCCAGAAATAACTGATGCACCCCCTTGCAAACAGATGCAGTGATGTATTTGATATTTTAATTCTTTCAGATTATATTCAACTGAATATTCTAAGTGGCCAACAAATAAAAAGATAAATTACAAAATAGTTTACATTAAAAAAGTGTAATAGGGATTTAATTACAAAAATGTAAACAGGGATTTTAAAAAAAGATTCGGAAGCAATTGGATATTTTCTTCTCTAAGGCAGGAGAAGCGGGAGATTATGTAGTTATGTATGGGAAAATACATTGCCAAGGAATGTTACAAGTAAATGTGTACCTAATCAATGGGCCACTAGCCTTTAAAAATTTCTAAGAGCCTTTTATACTTAATATTCAGACAAGCTCATAATATAACAGGCTATCCTCCAGGTAGTCTCAACAAACCTTAAATTAGATTTGGAAAACTGGCAACCAGAGAAGACTTTCAACATAGGAATCATGCAATACCATTATGATGCACTAAGTGATTGCCTACCTATTTTATCTCGCACCCCCTGAATTTTCAAGACACCTGTTTAGGATGGTTGGCTTACAGCTTGCCAGTTTCTCTTTAATTTCATGACAGAAGACTTTTGTACTTGTTCTTTCAAACAGAAGAAAGCCTCACCTCAGTCAGCTTGTTAAACTGCCTGAACATCTTCCAAACATCATCTGCAAATTCATCAGGAGATGCATAGGGTGGTGACAGCTTCCGCTGTAGCTTTGCTCTTATCAAAGTCAAATCAATTGTGTTCTGCCCCTCCTGGGAAATAAAGCAGAATGGAAAATTTTATAGTTTTATCCGAAATCTTTTCTATCAAAAAGTCTGCCAATCATATGCATTTTAGTAGCCCAAAGCTAACTTTCCTCAAAAACATGTAATGGTAATATGTGAAGATGATTGCAAAAACCTCTATTAAAAACAAGTGTTTTATTAATAACAATCACTCAATACATTTTTTAAAATAAATGTTTATAAAATATCCCATGATGCTTATTTAAGAAATCGAAGCTAAAAGCCCAGAATTAGAATTCTTCATTAAGAACTTTTTGGCATTAAGAAAAATAATTAATATTTCCCAGCATCTGTTAATTTTTTCCACCTACATAAATTGTGCTAGAATCCAAATTATTTAAATTTACCCTTCTAGCTCATAAAATACAACTCAATGGGAAAAACTTACTGGAGCATTGGAAAGCCGGTGAAGAGGCCTGCATGGTTCAGAACAAAGTAGTTCAAGGAGAACTCGTTCACATCTCTGTAGAAAACAAGATACAAAGCTAGATTATTGGGAAACATCTGGTCTTACCAATGAATGGAGATCACTTGTTATACTAAACACAACTTCCTTAGAATCAAACATAATTGCCAGCTGAATTAAATAAAAAATGATATAACAAAAATCCAAACAAGCCTCTACCCTAAGGTAGGTTTTTTTTATTTATTTATTTAAAGCTCTGACTTGCTTGACTTTTAGTCTTTCCACCTTCAGAGACACTACAGGAGATCTACAGATTTATCAGAATGTTCTCTTTTTCTTCTCTCGTCTTCATGGCTTTTGTGTATTACGTATAGATTACAATTAATATTCTAGTTAACAAATAAAATACATGCAATATATTGGCCAGGATTTATCAAGAGAATTTTGTAAGTTTCTTTTCTGTATGATGTAGAAAGCCTACATTCGCATTTGCTGCCCGGTATTTAGAGTAATTTGTGAGTGGGAGCTGGTGCTGCCATCTTTAAGTCATTCTTGACATGTAACAAATTTTCTGGACTGTCCTTGCAGTTCTTTTGGCAAAATTTCCAGAAACAATTTGTTTCTAGGGTTGAGAATGACTACCACAACTTGCTACACAGATTAGAACTCATGATCTCCCAATTTTCTACCCTTTTTATTTTCTTTCTTGCCAATGTTGCGTTGTCCCATTAGGTTTTGGGATTCGAAACAAAAATTTGACCTGGTTCTGTTAGCACAGACCTAAATATTTTATAGCCAAGGCCTTTCTTTGGCTATATCCTTGTCTAATATGAATGAAGTCAATTGAGAATTAGAAATCAAATGTAAATATGTGCCAGGGGAGGGAAAGCCACAGGAGGACAAGGAGAGAAAGCATTTTTCTGCTGGAACAGCTTGAGGACGCAGAAAAGCACTGACAAGGCCTGGCTGGTCTTAGCTGAGGGTTCCTCTTCCCTCAACATTTCAGTGCCAGTTGCTAAAATTATCAAGAAGGAGCTCAGCTCCAACCATGACTTGGCTGAGGAGATCTCCCAACACAGAAAAAGGAAGCAACTGAACATTTTAATGAAATACAGAGTGAAACAGACAAACGGAATGCTATTACTTTTTATATAAAATACTGCTGCTCTTTAACATACTGCAAAATACACATTTCCACTAGTGTTTTTGTGAAGGTTAAAAAAGTATGTTATGTTAAAAATAAACTATAATGATTGGCATTTTTTTTACTGCTATATTTGATCTACACCACATTTTCATAGCCTTATGGTAACATGTATTACCAATAGCAGCCAAATAAAACTATATACAGTAATTTACTCTTTATAAAGCAATAAAATCAATATTGAACAGTATTAAGTTCAATCTATTGGTTCAGCCCTCCACAACAGTCCCAGTTTCTCATGTCATCCCTTGGGAAATTTCCCACTCCTGCTCTAGAACTAAAATGTACTCTATTATGGGCAAATTCCACTAAGTCCTGCCTTGTTCTTTGGAATGTGTGGGCATAAAGAGGTTAGCTAAGTCTACCACAGCCTACTCTTCAGTTGATCCATCCATCATACTCCAATAAGCCCATGGATATGAACAGGATCAGGGTTTCAATACTTGGTGGCTTTTATTGTCTCAAACCAATTCTGAAGAGTGCATCCCACCTCTCAGTTAGACCAACCTTCTGATCAATATTTGACAGCATTTTTGGTTCTCCATCTTTGAAGACTGCAGCCAAGTCAGTCCCATCATCTCCAGTGGCTATTACTGGATCAGCACACAGTAGACATTTCCAATCCTGGCTGCAAAATGAAGTGCATGTTAAATATACAGATCACTTGCAGCTACAAGGCATGGGCATCTATACACAGATAGGCATACCTAATAATAACTGTTTGCTAAAGACTGCTTTAAAGTCAAATTGCCATCATTATTCTCCCAAGAATGCTTTTAGGCTCTCTATGTAAACCCAGATACAACTAGAAAATGATTCTATTGCAAAGAATTGTAGAAAGAGTCTTAGGTTTTAGGGGTGCCTGACTTATGTTCAGGTTCTTGAAGAGGTAACCTGTTCTTTTGCCTGGCCAATTTGATTTTCTATGAAATAAATTTCATTTCTACTGACATCAATTATTTTCTCAACTTAAAAATTAGGCCAGCGCTATATCTGTCATCGCTGTTGTCATTGCTTCCCAAATAATTACACTGACAGCCTATTCTATTCAGACCAAGTCACTATACTACACAATATTCAAGGCATAATAGTGGAATTTTAATACTCAGGAAGGTATGTATTTGCTTTTAATGGATGAACACTTTTTCTTTTTCTTCAATGTTACCCAAATAGAGTTATTCTATCATAATATTCAATCACAACTTTGCTGAACTTAAGATCTACAAAAAATTGTTTTTAAAAAATCTGAAGTATGTCACTTCTCTATTAGTGCATGCCCTGTAAATATTGTGCAAATGGATTTCCCAAAGATGATATGATACAATTCAATCAATCAATCAATCACTGTGTCTTCTAACTCTAGGGAGCTTGCCTTTACAAGAACCGTCCATTCTTACTTCATCTTAATTATTAACATATGTGAGAGCACTATTCCAAGAGTGCTGTTTCCTATCATATACCTCTGCAAGAATTGTACAAGATGAGGCACTCAAAGCAATGACCAATTTTTTTCAATTGAATCTCCAAACTTTATAGCAAGCCATGACCGCACTTTTCCTCCCCATCACCAGGTGCCTGAGATCTCATTAGAACAACAATTCTTACATGTGTGAAAAGGGTGCTCTTGTTTCATTTCCAAATCTTATCTGCCTTAGAAAAAAAAATGAAACACAGAACAGCAATTGTAGTAATCTACTATATGAGTTCCTGTCAGACATTGTAACTTTGGAGCGTTAGACACAAGGAGAAAGAAGGCAATAGCTATAACCACACTGATATTGCAAATCATTTGGGGAGTGGGGGGGGGGGGTTGGTTTGCAATAGTTACAAGGATGAAAACACTGGATTTGCTGCAACTACATCTTCTACCCTTTCATGACAAGGAAAACTGCATATACAAAAGCCTGTACCCAGGGATTTCCTGAAGGGCAGGCAGGTGACAATCCAAGTGGTAGCACTTTTTGCAACTATCACACATGACTACAGCACCAGCTTTCAGGCAGATCCTGCAGCAAGCATTTTCCTCCCCATTAGCTGTGCCATCATGGCTATGAACAGACTGCATTTCCATGGCAGAGCTGGTGCTGCCACTGGGGGAGATCAGCCGGGGGGCTACAGAGCCTTCTGGAAGAAGGGCATCCTGGGCCAAGATAACTGGCTTGGTGTCTTTAGTATCTGAGGCAGAAGCAGGATGTTCAATGGCTGCCTCCATCTGCTCCTCCTAGAGGACAAGAAAAAATGACAATGCATAAGAAAAATAGGCAAAAAAAAAGGGAAAAGGAAAAAACAGCAAAAGGAAACTCATTAGGACAGATAATTTAAATTGCATCGCTGGCATAAACTTGGTCATTTTATTACCCACAAGATATCTATACTATCTTCATAATTCATTGTTGTAATTCTTCTTTACAGATAATTATCTTCAAGGTAGAAGAGACCCTAGAGAATCACAGCAAAATTCTATTCTTATTGCGCGAAGCCAAACCAAAAAAACTCATTTCTGGCTAATGGACAGAATTTAATCTAGATATATCTTGAGATATTGTAGAAAATTGAGGCTGCACCCTCAACCTCTCTCCACCATCCAGCTCAGGACCCTGCAATTTCTTAATCTGGGCTTCTCTCTGGCAAAGCTCTCTGCTGCCCAAAATCGGGGAAGAGGATTGCTTAGTACACATTCTATCACCATTATCCACACTTCTGCAAAACCCTCCAAAAAGCCCTTTGATCAGCTGTAGTTCAAAGGAGCTTCTTCCTTCTAGATAATTATTACTACCACTACCCATTCCATTTTAATTCAAGCTTATTTCTGGTGTTTCTACAAATTAAATCCCAGAACACCCTTAACACAATTTTTAAAAGATCTCATATGTCTGCTTCCATTATCATTCATTCTCACTCACTCCCACACACATATTGCACCAACCTTCATGGCCTATTCCTGCTTCCATATCGCAAGAGCTGGCACTTCAAAGTAATATGTGCAAAAGATAACCGCTGGCTTAGTTTTAAGACTTGTATCAAGCAACTGAGACTGCTACACATGGTTTCTGCTAACTTACTCAGAAACAGACTATTCTAAAAAAAAACAATGCTGACCTTCACTGTAGCACCTGCTTGTTGGGTAGCACTTTGCTGACCTCCTTGTTCAATCACAATGAGATTGTAATCTTCACGGGAATTGCCCGGAAAGACTTTGAAGACAGGTGGCTGGTTATCTGATGTCAAATCCACATCCAGTCGCTCCAGACTAACCCGGGGCACTTTCCGGACAAGACCAGTTTCTCCATCCTGGACACGGGTTCTGGGAACATGCAGGGATCATATTAGGTAACAGGCCAGAGATAATTCTAGCACAATAAAAACCTAATTCACAGGGCTAAATTAAACTACATACTGAAACATTATCAATTTTTTTGACGTTCCAAGACTTAGTTCACCATAGCTAATCCAAAATGCACCTCCAAGTTGGGATCCTTTTGCTTAAGACAAGTCATCTAATAAGACCTTTCTCCATAGAGAACCTTGCTTCCAATTCTACATGGAGGCTGGTTGTAGATTCTGATTGTACAGTTGCATGGAGTTCAGCAGTACAATATTTTTAGTACTGTTACCTTTTGGAGAAGGAGTTATATATATCTTGTTGATATATATAACTCTTTCCTATAGTTTGTGCCAGGCAAAGAAAAACAGTTTATGCAACTTAGCTCCATGGCAATGCAATTTACTATTCTCAGTGGCTGTCCGTCCCATTCCCCC